AAAAAAGTACACGTACTTATTTACTTAATTATTTTACATATCTATAGTTGTTTTGTTTATGTATTATATAATTGTTTATTCCTTATTCATGTAATGGACAATGCTTTGGCAATACTGTGCAAGTCATGCCAATAAAGCTCATTTGAATTTGAATTTGAGAGACAGACAGACAGACAGATAGAGAGACAGACAGACAGACAGACAGACAAACAGTCAGATAGAGAGACAGAGAGAGAGACAGACAGACAGACAAACAGTCAGATAGAGAGACAGACAGACAGCAGACAGACAGACAGACAGACAGACAGACAGACAGACAGACAGCAGACAGACAGACAGACAGACAGACAGAGAGACAGACAGACAGCAGACAGACAGTCAGACAGACACAGACAGACAGTCAGATAGATAGAGAGACAGACAGACATGTTTGCGTGTGAGAGCTGAAGTCAATCTTTAATTGAATCCAAACGCAGCAGTTCAACAGAGCCAGCATTCATTCACAGCGTTTGAATCGACTCAACAACACTCATCTGAACACGTCAAACATATTTTTTCAGTCCATTTGGCATTAAACATCTTGACTGAATTACTTCAATACCGAACGTAACAACAGAGAGACTTTAAACTACTGAAACTTGGCTATAAGTATATAAGTATATGGCTATGAGTCCAGCTCCAGGTCTCAAACATAAGAAATGAAACGCCTGATGACATGAGCAGGTGAAGATAAACACACACACACACTCACACACACACACACACACACACACACACACACACACACACACACACACACACACACTCTCACTCACACACACACTCACACTGAAGAGCCGAACAGCTGCTGCTGGATGGAGGATGTTACACTTTTCAAACACTTTTCATGCCGTGACTAAAACAATGTGCAGCAGCGTGAGTCATTTCCCAAACAGATCTGTGTGTGTGTTTGTGTGTGTGTGTGACTGTGTGGGATGTGAAAGGAGTAGAAAGGGGAGAAATTATTTCCCATGATTCGAGTAGTCATTTTTCTTTGTTTTCCAGAAATGCAGCAGGTTTAGGTTTCGTGTCTAGTCAGTATGAAACGCTTCAGAGGTGTGTGATGGTGTTTGTGAGTGTAGGACAGTGAAACACCAGCAGCAGCAGCTGAACAGATCAGGAATATTGGGCTGTAACCGGATCAGCTGACGCTGGAGCGGCTCTCTCTCTCTCTCTCTTTCTCTCTCTCTCTCTCTCGCGTGCGAAGCTCTGGCGATGTGAATGAAGCTTCAAACGGCTGTGTTTATGTCCTAATGGGGCTGATGGGACTCACACGAGCCTCAGGCCTGGTGCTGATGTTATTATTGGCTGCTGGAACTAAAGAGCTCATGCAAACACTGTAATATATGAAGCGTGTGACTGTAATACTGCTCACACAAACACTCGGTTCCTCTGTCACCTGAGAAACATCCAACTCCTCCATCACAGCAGAGAAACAAGAACAAATCAACATCAATGGCGCTCCAACAACACACGCAGAACAACTGTGTTTAAGCAATAGAAAATATCAGCAAAAAACTGTAGTAATCAATGGAAAGACCCCCATTATGTTAAACAAATGTGAGTGTGTGTGTTCCTGATATTCACTATGTTACATGGACCACATGTCCCCACAAGGATAATAGCAGTAGTAGCAGTTATAGCAGTAAATTTTGACCTTATTTGGTCTCCATGAAGAAACAAGCTTACAAATTATACAGAATTAAGTGTTCTGTAGTTTTATGTAGGGTTAGGGTAAGGGATAGAAAATACAGTTTGTACAGTAGAAAAAACATTACATCTATTGAATGTCCCCATAATGATAGGAATACCAGTGTGTGTGTGTGTGTGTAAGAGAGAGAGAGAGAGAGAGAGAGACTGTGTTTACATAACTATACTTTTTCTCCAGAAGTGAGTTAAATCTAACAAAACCAGGCAGTCGTCAAAGGTCAAACTACAAAAAAAATATTTTTGAGAGAGAAGATTTTCAACAAACATTAAATAAAATTAACATAAATGAATATGACACACCGTAACAGACTCATGTGTATTTAGCAGTTTATCAAACAAACGAGAACATTAATAACAACGAATAACAATCAAATCACTACAAATGACCCGAGAGCAGGATATTTCAACAGCTGCACTATAATTATCTTATATTAAACCTCTGTCTGTGACATCACCAGCCAATCAGAACAGCAGGTGTGATTGACACGCCCACTTCTCCAATAAACTTCCTTCAAAAGACTTCAAATCCAAAACTTGGCTGTGAATTCAGACACAAACAAACAGTCTGACTGAAAAACCTCACAGATTAATGAAGGACAAACACTGACTAATTTCTTAAAGAATACAGTGAAATATATTGTGTGTGTGACGGCACCTTTTATACAGTCTATGGACGGCACGCACACCAGCAGATCATGTGACGTCACAACAAGCAGCCAATCACAGCGTGACACTGAGGGTCTATTTACGGCACTTCAGACGATCTTCCTCAAACGTGGCCTGAGGCTTTAGGATCGCTGCCAAACAGCAGAGTCACGCAACACAGCGCTGAAACACTGCATTCATTAGCCGCTAAATTGATGTCTGACACACACACACTCACACATATACATACACACACTCTCTCTCTCACACACACACACACACACTTCAGAGAGAACTAAACTGGATGGAAAGATTCATTTTTGTTTATTAGACTCTCTAAAAAAGGAAAATCCTCCTGATTGTTGGCTGCTTCTGAATATTCACATGTATTTGTTTAGCAGGTGCTTTTATCCAGAGTAACCTTCAAATCAATGTGATTGTTGTGTGTCAGATGATCAGATCGTCACAGATCTCCAAACTCAAAGCTTTTCTAGAGTCGCTGCTGAAGCTCGTGATTCTTCTAATAATCTCCTCCGTGTCTGTGGGTCGACGCTTCATTAACTCATTAACAGACCTCATTAACGCTCACATGGAGCCAGTGATGCGATGTTTGCAGGATGAGTTTCAGAAGGAAGATAATTCAGCTGACAGTGAAGCTCCGAAAACAAACAAGAGTCTGGACAAATAAATACAACCAGAACCGACGATTACTGGCATATTAAAATACTAAAAACATGATGCAGCCCTGTAAATGACCAACTAACCAGTCAGCAGGTTTAGAGCAGGTTGAAAACAGTGTGTTTGTGGTCAGATATCACTTGATTGGGTGTGACTGAGATGATGAACTCACTCTCACACAGTTTCTGTGCTTCAGTGGACTGACGACAATCGCATCTGACAGACTCTAACCATGATGTTGGGCCAACAAAGCCTTCCACTCCATTACCTTCATGAGCGAACACTCGCTGAACAGACACTTGAACTTCCCTGCGCTGCAGAGACACAAGCAGCCGATTGCAAACAAACACTTGCATCATTAGAAGAAAAAATTTTGCTGTCCGGACTCCGCACGCAAAGTGAAAATGATACATCAGAACAGCTGCTGAACGCAAACAACCCTGAACCTGATACTCCGAGTCTGTGTGTGTGTGTGTGTGTGTGAGTGTGTGTGAGTGTCCTGTAAATGACCAACTAACCAGTCAGCAGGTTTAGAGCAGGTTGAAAACAGTGTGTTTGTGGTCAGATATCACTTGATTGGGTGTGACTGAGATGATGAACTCACTCTCACACAGTTTCTGTGCTTCAGTGGACTGACGACAATCGCATCTGACAGACTCTAACCATGATGTTGGGCCAACAAAGCCTTCCACTCCATTACCTTCATGAGCGAACACTCGCTGAACAGACACTTGAACTTCCCTGCGCTGCAGAGACACAAGCAGCCGATCTGTCCGTATTCTTCACCCTTGAGGATCTCTTCCTTTCTCTTGCATTGAGAACTATAAATATTCATACTATTCATAATTAAAGGGGTCATGAACTGAGAAACCAAAAGTCCCTTGATCTTTTGACATATAAGTACTAAGTCTAAAAACAGCTTATATTGAAGGCTGTCTGCCAAACGACAGCTTGTGGAATGTTCTACTCTATGATGTCATAGTGTGGATAAACCCCGCCCCCGCAGAAGATCAACACCTGCTTCTACATTAAGCCAGGCATACACTGTGCGATTTTCGTCCGATTTTGAGCCCAATTTTGGCTCGTGCAACTCTTTTTTTGAGTCTGGCCTAATTTCAGCTTCGTCGTTTGTGGTGCAGTGTACAGGGGAAACGAGAAGCGATAAGTCTCTCCCGACAGGCACTTGGACGGTCGGATGTGTGTGCTGCAACCAGATTTCACAATCGGTTAGGATTTTAAAACTCCTGTAGTGTGAGCCCGGCTTAAAAGACGATGCTGTGCGACTATATTGGATCTGACAGTAATGTCGCAACACAAGTGTTAGTAACTGTTTTCATTACGTGATCACTATTGCTTCGTTTCTTACAGATTGTTTGATATGTATGGAGTTATTTATGCGCTTTTAACCTAAATCACAGCAGCGTTCATCTGTGAGGAATGTAGGCTGTCAATCATACACAACTGTTAGCCAATCACAGCAGTGGGCGTTTACTTCCGAGTCTACAATCAGCCACGCCTACTCAAACAGAGCGCTCTGATGAGGGGGTCAAAACAGAACAGAAAATAGCCTATTACTTCTAAATTATGATGTTTTATGATGTAAATAACATTATAAGTGGACCTCAGAGAACAGTACAAAATAAAAAACAAAGGCATGACACCTTTAAGTCCTGTAGCTGATGAGTCTGAATGATGAATTGTTTTCACCCCCTTACAATTTAATACTGTGAAAAAAAACTATTGTAACACGTAATTCAACAATAAACTCAACATTAAATCATGGATTAAAAATCAAACATTATTATTAAAAGTCTGGTATGACAATTGTTTTTTAACCTAAAAACTACTTATCATATACTTCTATAAATAACATACAAATAACATTCATAACACTTTGGTTTTCTGAAAATAATAATACGTATGCCATATTATGATTGTTGGTTATTTTGAGTTGCCATGGTAATTTGACGTGTTTTGTTTGTTGTGGACACGGACGCGCCGTGGTTTCTCTCCACAGATTTGACATCCTGAACACTCTTCTTGTTCTTCAAACACACAGAGGCCTGCGCTGATGTGCGAGTGACGTCTCCGGTTCCTGTGGCTGATCTGATCTGATCTCCTTCCTTTTTCAAGCTCCTGGTTCGTGCAGGATCAGCGTTTAGATGCGTCTTGCTCAAGCCGTTTCCTCTCAGGACTGCAGACAGTGTTCATCCTGAAAAACTCTCTCCATTCAGGCCAAAGAGCGTCCGCCATGAAACACAGGCGACTGACAAACGCAGTTAGAGTAAACGAAGTGTGCTGGAGTAGGTCTGTGGGTGAGATGATGGACAGAAAGACACTGAGATCCGTCAAAGACTGGATAACGCTGTCTCAGACAGACAGACAGACAGACAGACAGTCAGACAGACAGACAGACAGACAGTCAGAC